TGGTATGTACTTCGATTTCAGTTGCATGTGCCCATACCTATTTATATTCTAATTTGTATTAACTGGCACTGATAAGTTGATTCAAACACAATCAGGAATAAATTTAGGTGCAGCCGCAGTTTAACAATTGCTCACCGTTTAAATACCGTATGGATTCTGACGAAAGTACTAGTAATGGATTTTGAAAAATAATTAAGGTTGACCATCCATATAGTTTGTTGAAAACGCAGGTGGATTTTCTACAATATAGTAGAACGAACAGGAAGGATACGACCTTTTACACAACGGCTTTAGGTACCATAAATGCATTTTATTATCTCATTTCTTTACTTATAAATGGTATATGTTAATCAACTAAATATTTTTAGAGTTTAAAATTCAATCAATAAACATGATTCGAGCAATTAAAATATGGAATTAATTATTTACATATTAATATCTCATTATTATTCGAATGTTGTTTTCAGTAAAATTTTATTTTTTTTAAATAATAGTTTCTCGGTAATTGTAGAAGTTATTAAGTTTGTGTATTATAACCAGTGTTAGGGAAATTACTGTTTTTTGGTAATTAAATTACATTACTAATTCCTTATCAAAATAACTAAATTTTTTTAAGTTACTTTTTTTTTTTATTTGGTCAATTTACATTTCTTTTGAGTTTAAAAAGTAACTCTATTACAATAAAAGTTACTTTTTTTCAAATATATTTATGGAGCCTAGTAACCATGTGTTCGATAGGGCAATACATAAATTAAATATTAAATTATTAACAAATACTCATTTTGCTACACATTAAATATTATTATCTTTATTATTCAAATTTATTTTAAATAAAAGTGCATATTCAAAATTATAATCAATAATTTTAGATCGCTTTTTACTGCATGTATTAAACCAAATAAAGTAATGAGTAATTAAGTAATAATTACTACAAATAAGTAACTCAAATCACATATAAATAACTTACAATAAAATATAATTAAATTACTATCATATTACTTAAAAAGTAATTTCGTTATAGTAACTGATAACTTAAGTTAAGTTACTCCCCAACATAAAATAATCATGTTTCTTTTCTCAAATATTATCTAAATTTGCTGGCTTTATCTATACCTACAACTTATTAAAATAAATAAAAATTATTTTTACGAATTCATGTATTTGTATAAAATAGAACATTTAAAAAAAAACTTTGTACAATTCATAATCGTTATATCTTTTTTTATATTAAATGGTATAGCACATAAGAAATTTTAAAGAAATAATAAAATATTAGCAGTAAATATATTATTAGTACATATTATTTTGTTATTGTATAATAGTTGATAAGTATATGCTTAAATCGCATAACAAAAAACGCATTATATAAAATAAATTTCAAAAATCATAATATTGACGAGGAATAAGATAAAAAAAATCATGCTTATCTTCAAACTGCTGTATATGATTAAAGTTTGGCAAAGGTTGAAGTACTTTTCAAATTTAAAAATTAGTGTTGCGTGTTCATAAAAACTATATCTTTATACTCAAAAGAAAATTTTGATAATTATCTAAAAAAACCCGTTGCTGATAATATCAAATTATTTTTAATTTCATGAAGAAAAGATTGTAGTATACGGATTTCAAAAGTATCTACATAGGTACTTTTTTTAAACGGCATACATATTTTTTATAAAAAAAGTATTTAAAAATATTCATTGTACTTTAGTATAGGGCTAGGAATATGTATTTCTATCCGTTTCATCACGTGATTTCATTCAGTTGATAATGTTACGACCGTAAACGAGCGTATGCTACATAAATATAAAAATATGTCCTATAAAATACTTCTCATCATAGAACTATGAAAAATATAAATAAATTATAAGTCGATATGTTAATATCACCAAACTTCAACTCATTCAAAAATTATTGTAATCTCTTGATTGTTAATTCATAGCTATAAGTATATTAGATCATTATTTATATTGAACAGCTGTTTTTTTTTCCTTGTATATTACTGTTGACGAACGATTGTTGTTGTTATTATTATTATTATTATGTAGGTAATTGGGCCTAGCCCGTTTAAATCTTAAATAACAAATATTGTGCGGTACGGCAACACGTATTTTTATTAATAATGTAGACAATGTGTGGTCATGACAAATATTGACAAATACTGTAAAGTGTGAACACTGTATTATTTTATTTAATCATTTAGTACAATCACTACAATCAAACGTCGCTCATTTCATAGAAAATGGGAAACTCGATATCCTGGATAAGGATACAAGACTACAAGAACATGAAGTTTATTGCCAGACCTCTTGTATTAACGGAGTCACCACCGCAACGATCATCATTCCTTTTGGGAACCAATCATATATAAGGGAGATCGAGGCAGTCGAACGGACAGACTGTTGAGAAGACGGACATTCAGAGGCAGATCCGTAACACCGCTCAAACCAACATCTCTTATAATTACACATATCGTAATTTTGTATGCCGATTAATACAACATTTTTAAATAAAATTATTAGTTATTAATTTTTCATTAAATTAATATTTTTCTACACTTAATAAATCACGTTTCTGGTTGTCATTCGCACGTTAATGTATATCAAACGACCTAGTCGGTACGCAACAATACGTACACGGTAATAATTTTCAGAGCAGTGAAAAGTCGTTTTGAAAACCGTTAAAACGATCGATAGCTGTATTGTGTAATAAAATGTTTTATGAAAACGTAAAGTGTGCTTCTAAATTTAATAATTATTGTTGGTCGTATTATTACACTTCGAACCCCCGCGATAACGCGACACGGTGTACGTGACGGGTATAGATTTGTCTAAAACGTTATCGCCGCTTGTGCTGCACTGCTGCTGCAGAGTACACACACTACACACACTACACACACACGCAGACGAGGCGGGTCATTTTAATCGAGTGACCTCTTTTATCTGCGCTATTATGTACACGTAAAATGTAAATTTAATGTTATAATCATCGTCGAATAATATTATGTTGTACGACGGCGGCCGCCTAATCGACGGTTCAATACTTCAATATTTATATTTAATAATAATAAATACACAACAATAATTGACCGTTGATCAGTTCAAATGCAGTATTAAACCGCGGTCGCGTTTTTAAAGGTTTGCTCAGTCGGCTGTAAAATTCCGACGTGATCGAACGTCGTTCCCGCAGCGGCGATAATAATATAATAGATCGCGTCGTTTGCCGAGTCGAGTTCAGATCGCATATTTTTACTATTATACTCGTATAATATACTATCACACACTATCGTGTGTACAGCTTTTGTTCGCTGTAACGAAACGCGTTCCTAGTACATATTATACGCAGTCTGACGACGATGCGTTTTGTGGCGGCGATGTTACCGTCATCGCTGTTGGCCGCGTTCCTCTGCTCGTTGGTTTCCTGCAGCCGGTCGGCCGCAGCAGTGGCGTCCGACCGCGGCAGTAGCAACGGGGCCCTGTACCTGACGCCCCTGATACAGGCGGGCCGGATCGACGAGGCACGAGCCGCGTCCAAGGTGAAACCCCTGAAGGCGGCCATCGAGAGCTACTCCGGTTACCTGACCGTGGACGAGGCGCACGGTTCCAACATGTTCTTCTGGTTCTTCCCGGCCATGAACGGCGCCCAAAACGCGCCCGTCATGCTGTGGCTGCAAGGCGGCCCGGGCGCGTCCAGCTTGTACGCCGTGTTCGACGAACACGGCCCGTTCTCGGTGGCCAAGACCCACGGGCTCAAGCTGCGCAACCACACGTGGGTGGCCACCCACTCGATGCTGTACCTGGACAACCCGGTGGGCACGGGGTACAGCTTCACCGGCGACGAAGATGGTTACAGCGCCAACCAGACGTCCGTCGGTCTCAACGCGTACGACGCCCTGGTGCAGTTCTTCACGCTGTTCCACGAGTACCAGCAAAACGATTTCTACGTGACCGGCGAGTCGTACGCGGGTAAGTACGTGCCAGCTGTGTCGTACGCCATCCACCTGAATAACCCCGGGGCAAAAGTCAAGATTAACCTCAAAGGACTGGCTATCGGCAACGGTTTGGTCGACCCCATCAACCAGTTGATATACAGTGAATACCTGTACCAGCACGGGTTCATCGACGGTAATTAATAATTATAATACACATATAACGACATAACGTATACGTCATAATAATTATTAGAATTGAGAACTTGTAGCACTATAAAAGGATACTAAAAATTTTTTCGTCTTTATTATATTTTTTAAGTATAAAAAGTATCGAGTCGTTGAGAAAAATGTGTCAAAAAAAACCATATTGTTTTTTTATTATGTATTCTAATGTTCATAGTATGTTTTAGTTAAAAAAAAATAAAATTAAAATCATTTTATTTATTGGAAGTTTACAGATTATGAAATCAATAATAACACAGATATATAGACTGTAGAACACTTGAAAAAAAATATCGTAAAATATGAGTAAAAAAAATGTTATTTCAAAAAAAAAAAATACAATTAAAAAAAAAAATGCAAATAATAAAAGATTCTGTAAAACTGAGTTAATTATTACATGTTTCAAACATTTGACTAGGAAAACCATGTCGATAAACTAAAAATAATGCATTAAAAAATGTCTTCGAATTCTCAACACTATAGTATTGTTTACCTTGATATATTAATATTAGATACACCGTGATGCGACCTTAACGATTATTTTGGCGTTAATATTGCATCATATTATTCCATAACTAATATTATTATATCGTCACAGAGTACGGAAAGCAAGAGATGGATAAACTGGAAAACCTAGCCCGCGCCCAAATCCTTAGCCATGACTTCCAAGGCGCTTTCAAGACGTTCGACATGCTGTTAAACGGCGACATCTATCCGTACCCGTCGCTGTTCAAGAACTTAACCGGCATGCAGTACTACTTCAACATGTTGTGGGACCGGGACCCGGAGCCGTACGGTGACTGGGAGAAGTACGTGCAAGAGCCGTTCATGCGGGAAGCGCTGCACGTGGGCCAACAGCCTTTCAACAACGGTACAGCGGTCGAACACCACCTTTCGGAGGACGTAATGCAGTCGGTGGCCCCGTGGCTCGCCGCCCTACTGGACGCCGGCCAGTACCGCGTGCTGTTGTACTCAGGACAGCTGGACATCATCGTGCCGTATCGCGGCACGATGAACATGGTCAAGTCGCTGAAGTGGTCGGGCTCGGATCGGTTACAGAACGCGACGCGGACCATTTGGCGAGTGGGCCACGAAAACGCGACGTTCGTGGCCGGATACGCAACCACGGTCGATCCGCTGACCGTGTTGCTGGTCAGGGACGCCGGTCACATGGTGCCGGGGGACCAGCCGATCTGGGGCCTGGACATGATCAACCGGTTCACGGCCGGCAAACCGTTTTAATACCGGACCACAGGTCTGATGGAGTTTCGTGACAACATCGCAATATATGTATAATTATTTCATGTTGCCGTGCGATGATTACTGGTTACACGTTTGATATTTTAATCGTCGAAGCGAATTATTATGATATCACAATTTGAAATAGGCATCATAGCTATTAGCTACAACCGATGAAAAATAAATATATCATAATCATTTATAGCCGTTGATGTCGGATATCGATTGATTATTATAATACATAATTAACGTGTTTGTATCCGATCTACATATTTATCGATAATAATAATAATAATAATAAATATTTAATAAAACTTATAAAACTATGTTTACGCTTGTGTTGTTTAACTGAAGATGACAGTCCAAGCCATTGTACCTTGTACCATATTATATTATATTGTTATTATTCCATGTTATGTATGTATATACCTCGACCACCTCAATGGTATGTACCGTGATATACGCCGTTTGAACCTCTCTCAGATGTCAAAAGTTCATCACTGCAGTAAAATATGATATTTGTCGATGATGACTTCCGGTTATTGACCGTTTATTGACTGCGGCTATGTATACGATCAGTGATCATTATTATACATTGTACGAATAAATGTATAGTATGTAGTTGATACGATGAAAATACATGACACGATCATGATGTACTTGTAACATATTATACTAATACTAGATGTTCAACGATTTTGGATACTCTCTTCATAATATTACTGTATGCATATGTTAATACTCCCACACGGAGCAATAACAGATAACACTGCTGTATATTCATAATGTAAAACGTTTAGTAATCTCATCATTTTATCATATAGATAATAGATAATCGTTTATCAGTCCCAATTAGTCTAAATTCTGATGACAGTTTCTAAACTTATTGAATACACTGTATATTTCTATGTTATGAGGTTGCCGCGCTCGCATATTATTATGATGTATTATTTCTGACTATCTATTTTACAAACTTACAAGCTAATAAATTTGTGTTCAGCAGTTCCGATTTTGTGTAGTAATAAGCTTTAATCATAAAGTATTGGCCTATTATCATTGATTATGGAATAGACTACATTTTATAGTCTCTATATTCCATAATCAATGCTATTATATAATTCTAAAGTACGCCACAGTCGGAATCTGTATTTTTCTTTGGGGTTCTTCATTACGATATTTTTATATTTATGAATTATGACAGACTCATCACAATACATCAATACGTCTTCATAAGATATTTTTGAATTTTAGTGAAAAAGTATTAGCTTGGATTTCTTTAATGAATTAAGAAGCTTGTTAGTTGCTTATATATTAATAAGGTATCTACATTTATTAGATGTTCAGTGGTAATTGATAGACCTACATTACTTATTATTGGAGAAATGAAAACATTACATTTTTCAACCGATGTTATATGTATATTATAATAGACCGAAGTTTAAATATTCGACTTATTGATAACACAAACATTACAAATTAGTACACTAAAAATTTACTGGATCCATAGTATTAATAGGTATGTATATTATGCTAACAATTTTAATGGGAATATAATGTGCGTTTTTGAAACATATTAAGTTTGTAGATCGTAATGAATAAATTATAACATATTATAATAGTTGTCATTAATTGTTATTAAATGTTTTGATTGTTTTACCATTACCACTGGAAAAGTTATTTATATAGATTAAAAGCAAAATAACATGTATATATTTAAACATATACCCCCTTTCACACTAATCAACAATTCAACATCGAAATACGAAATGGTCAATGAATATGGATATAAATTATAATATTATGAAATAATTTAATGATAAAAACAATTGTAATTCATAATACTAATAATAATAATAATAATATTTGTATTATTAAGTATAAACACATTATTAATAAATAATAATGATTTATGTCATTTATGACTAGCAAAATATATCTTTAATTTCGTCTCAACTTGAAAATTGATATTTTAAATTCTTTGTTTACCGTCCAATAACAACGCGTCGCCGTCACCGACGGTCACGTGACAACGGGCATGATAAGTATAATATTGCGTAGGTATGCCGCAGCCGGTTATCGGTCGACAACGCAATGTACAGCTTATCACTTGTCGCAACGACAACTTACCGGTCACCGGACTACAAACGACGACAAAACATTACCAGTTACCACAGAATTAAATATTAATGCGTCTCTACAGTCTACGGTGCATACCGCCGGTGATTAAGTGTACAGCAATGCTGCATTGCTGCTGTTGCTGCTGCGAGTGACCTGGTACCGCGGTATTGGTAACCGCGTAACAACACATCAGACCGGTGATACATGGTGTTACCAATCCACGCAACAGCAGTCGTCGTGTTCGCGGGTGGGCTCGTAGGCCACTCGTCGTGGATTACCGTGGCCACGCCGGGGCCGGAGCGCGAAAACGACGACCGGCCGATTTCATGGCAGAAACGGCCGTTGGTCACGTGACGCTGGCGAGCCAATGACGGGCGTGGGCAAGGAACAATCGTGCTCCATACGTGGCACGCATGTAGAAACCGCAGGAGCGGCGAGAGAGAGAAAAAGTAAATAAATTAAATACAAAAAAAAAAAGTAAAATAATAGAGAGAAATACCGAGTCGTCAAGAGAGGAACCCGTACGCCGCCGCCATCTTATCCGATAATCGGTTAAATATATATATATAAACATAATTCATGTAATATATTATATTTAATATCTAGATATATATGAAAGTGTGTATGTAGATACACATACGTTTATATATTAGATAATTATATTCGTTACTCGCGTCGTGATAATATTATATTGTTTTTTGATTCTATCCGGCCGTCTCAGTCTGTGTCGTTTTGCGTTTTTATCATACTTTTTTACGTCGACGCGCCCCGTTCCGCACACTCACACATCTCGGCCTGCTTTTCATCGTCATACATTACCGTTCAACCGTTTTGACCAACATCCGACTTCGAGTAAGTACCACATCGACACCGACAACAATCACTATCCGTATACTGAAAAGGAGATGCGACTTTTGCGTATTTCGGGTCCCCCAATCGATTTTTCGTTCCGGCCGGCTTCTGAGTGCGTGTTTAACCACGGCCGGCTGTTGCCTACGTGTACTGTTTCGCGTCGACCCTGTCGCTCGAACTGTAAGTTGCTCAATGGTGTCTTGTGGATTTTGACAGATATGACGTGTCGTCTACACAACACTTTTTCTTGGGGGGTCTCACCAACCCTTGTTTTCAGGAATTCGTCAGGTATGTTCTTGTCTACCGTCAGTGGTATAGTTTACGATTTGTTATACTTTTGTGGAGATTCAAAACCTTGTTCATAGTGCTCTAGGTCTAAAGAAGTATAGAAATAATAAAGACCTACCTATAATATGTGTACATGTTGACCCCAAAAGTCACCTTAATAACAAATACAATGTATAGCAAGATTGTATTTCTTTAATAAAGTAATATTCTGCACAACATCTTCATAACGTAGTTTCTTAGTTATACCACTATATCATCACTTTTCAAAAAAGAGTTTCAGTGTTATCTTTAATTTTTTTTTTTTAATGGAATATCTATTCAATTCATAAACATCTTTAGAATCTTTGAAGATCAGTTGTATTCATACTTTTTGTGTCCACCTAGTTCAAACATATTGATTGCACACAATTGACTCATTTATTGCTTATATTTATTAAACTATCCTAAAAGTATAAATTGTATACACCCAATAAAAGGTCTATCCTGTATTTGGTTATTTATTTATTCTAAGTTGGTGACAAATTAAATATATTTTTATTCAAGTATGTAATGATTTTTAAACAATTTTATATAGCAAAGAACTGAGAGAATATTTAACAAGTTTTGGTATGGTAAATATTTGCCCGTTATCCTATTAAGTTTTTAAGTACTTTTTTTGTTATACTTCTTGCTTTAAAAAGTTTGAAATCTATTACTTGAACCAACTAATTTGGTTGAATATAGTTAATAGTTATAACATATTCTTTGACAAAATGTCGTTAGTATTTAAAAACTATTTAATTAATTTATGATACTAATTTTAAGAAGAAAATGTATGCAACAGGTACCTAATATTATGATGCTTTGTATTAAATTTATATACTTAATAAATATTCTCAATTTATTTGTAATTTTATAAATTGTTTTATTGTTTTAGTAATATATTTTGTCCTAATTTAAGTTGTGCTAACTACTTTAACCTATTTATTGATCAAAGTTTCTACCATATGGTATTTAGTTATTTTTTTATATTTAATTATTAATATTTTATACTAATAGTTCATATCTGATTTGTTTATTGTGTAGTCAATCTTAAAATATTAAGATGTTTTAATTTAATACTCTTGTTTGAATTTTATATTTAGAATCATTTTTATTTTTATTCAAACACAAAAGAAATTTTAAAATTACAATTATTAATAGTAATTAACCAACACACAAAATGTTTATCTTGTTAAACAACAATAATAATCAAGAAATTATTTATTTAAATAAAATATTAAAAATAAGAACTACATTATATACCTATTATAATGACATTCTTATTTCATTATAAATGGTTATTACTGACAGATAATTGTTATCAATTGATAAGATAATTCTTAATCTTGTATTTTTATGAGTAGCCTAAACTAGGTAGCATTAATATTTTGTTAAATTATTTGTTTAATAAATTTACAACAGTTATATTTATAATTAAATATATTCTTAACCTAATTATTTGTGTTTATCTTAATCATATATGAAATGAATATTAAAATATTAATTTTAATAATTAGTTAATTTGTTAAAATAGTGTTAACCATGTAATCAAAATTACACTGGTAAATTTAGTTGTATTTCAATAAGAATGATCTGTGAAATGAATTTCCCTTTGCCATTCAGTATACATTGTTAAATTAAAAGTAATTCTCTAAGGATTCAAAAATATACCACTCAGCTTGTTATTTATTTATTATTGAACTAATTTTATAAAGATTATTTTAATATGTCAATAGATTGTTGTTGATTTTTACAATAATTATTTTTCAGGATGGGAAATGTTTTTGCAAATCTGTTCAAAAACTTATTTGGTAAAAAGGAGATGAGAATACTTATGGTAGGATTAGATGCAGCTGGTAAAACAACAATTTTATACAAATTGAAATTAGGTGAAATTGTTACCACCATACCAACTATTGGTAAGATATTTCTCTAATAACTGACTTTATTTGTTATTATTTATGAAAATTTATTTTACTATGATTGTTATTGCTATTTGTTTTAGGTTTCAATGTTGAAACTGTCGAGTACAAAAACATCAGTTTCACAGTGTGGGATGTTGGTGGACAAGATAAAATCCGACCACTATGGAGGCATTATTTCCAAAACACACAGGCATGTATTTTCATCTTTATGTATACTTAAGTATATTATATTTAATAGAATTAATATATTTGCATATTTGTTAGAAATTAAAATTATGTACACTAATAATGTAATTGTTGGATGTGATGCAGGGTTTGATTTTTGTAGTAGACAGTAATGATAAAGAACGTATATTTGAAGCTAAAGAAGAGTTGATGAGAATGCTTGGCGAAGACGAGCTTAGGGACGCTGTATTATTGATATTCGCTAATAAACAAGTATATATAAATACTATATATATAACCACTATGATAATTATAATATTAATATTATTTTTTAATTTTAGGATTTGCCTAATGCCATGAATGCATCTGAAATTACTGATAAACTAAGCTTACACACGCTACGCAATCGTAACTGGTATATTCAAGCAACGTGCGCAACTAGTGGTGATGGTTTATATGAAGGTCTTGACTGGCTGTCAAATCAATTGAAGAATGCCAACCGTTAACCGACTCCAAACTACATTATTATTATTATAAATATTTAAATAATAAAAAAAAACTTTATTTGTAATTCGTGAAAACAAACTTAAGCATAATATATTATTTATAGCAGACTAAAAAAAATTTTTTACTCGCCATTAAAATTAATATTGTCAAATGTGTTCTTTTAGTTAAACCATTAGTTCTCTGTCTACAGTTGTAATTAATTTCTTAATAAGTGTTATCATCAAGTTCTATGATCAAAACTATTTTAATGAACCATTTGACAAATATTAATTTTCAGTAATAAATACTTATTTAAAATATTAATAAAAAAAACACAAATACATAATTATTAACTACTATAATTGTATCTTTTCTCTAAACAAAATATTATAACTTATATTTTGTCTGAATTTTGTAATGCAGAAAAAATAATTGTTATGTTGATTTCCCCACATTTTTATTATTTTAGCTTTATTTTGAAATTTTATTATTAGCTTAAAAACACATTTTTTTTTTTAGTGTATACATTTTTTTTATATAAAAGTTATATACCCAAACCGCTATATAAAAAAAATATGTATAATTTTTTTCTTTTTAAGTTATACAAAAGCTGAATTTTTTTGTAAATAAAATTTACTATTTATATTACTATTTAAAGTTTAAACACACGTTTGAATTTGTTTTATAACTTCAGTTTGATATGCCTTTGTCCAACTGGTTTAAATTAGACATTATCGATAAACTTAGTTATTGTTATAAAATTACATACAAGTTTGTAGTAAACTCAAGAATAAGATAATAAGTTTTAATCAATTTCATTAAATTTTAAACTATAAATATCTGGTATTAAGTTAACCATTGGTATATAATTTTGTTTAATATTGAAATAAGCATATAACATTCCATTTATATTAACGTTCAAGAAGTGAAAGTTAAGTTTCACTGACATTTTTCTTGTCTGCCCTTAACAAGTGTGCAGTGTTTGTTGTATTTGGTGATTGTGTCTTAATTTATATCTCACTATATTAACCGATGGAAATGTTTTTATTACTGTCATTGGCTTGAGACAGAACCAAGACCTACACACAATTGTTGCCGATATATTATTAATATTAATTAATAATTCTTAATTTTTGCTGCTCTTAATCCTTGTTTATTGGTCGTTATATAAACATTAATCTTGTGAAAGAAAAAATACTCATAAATATTATTGTATTTCTAGTAAATTTTTAAATACATGTAAATATATACTTTTTTTTATATAATGTATATTATATACTGGGTCGTTTCATTTAATGAAAATCAATTTTTTTTTTTTTGTTAAATATTATTTATCACGCGACTACTATTGATCATTATTATTGTACAATGTCAATCAACTAATACAGTATTATTTTATATTTTAAATATTCAGTTATTGTCTACTGATTTATTGAATATAGCATTTAGGCTAGACTACCTAAAAATAGTAAGTGATTCGTCATGAAACTATTTCAATCGTGAAACAACCAAGCATGTGTACTGTGTGACCAATGATAGCATTATTCAAAGTAAAAATACCTTTTGTAAACAATGTACAAATTTAAAGATTGTCCAATTACTCATTTTGACATGCGTCAGCAAATCACATACAAAGAGCATTGTCAATATACATATATTAATTAGCATTTAAAATAAAGAACACATGTTTGAGTTTCAACTGTTAGACGATATTTCAAAAAAGAAACTTTGTAACAGTATCTTCGTTTTAAGATTCTTAATAATATGTCATAAGCTCATTGATCAATTGATGGATGGATGATGCACTCGTGATGAAAAAAAATTCCAGTATTCAAAAATAAGTGATTGAACTTTTGAAGGATAACAGTTTAATAAATTTCAATCTTAAAGTATAGTTAAAACGAGAACAGAATGTGCTTAACTTAATTTTACTTTAAACCAGCGCATATGGATAATATTAATATATGTATAAAAACAAACTGTTATTTGAAAAATCATCCATTATAAAACTATTCCATCACTATGAGAATTCAACAAGTGGTTGGTATCATATCAAATCATTTAATCCATAAATTAGACTAGTGAACAAAAATACATAAAATACGACATTAAATATTTATTTTATTTATCGAAGGCAGCATATAATATTAATTTAATGAATAATTTTCTTAGTTATTTTTCAAACAGTAAAAAACTACATTTAAATTGTTGCTTAAAAAAAAAAAGAAAAATGATACAATATGGGAATATAATAGAATTTGAAATTTATTTCCAGAGCTTCTTGATGGACATATTTTTTTCAGAGTCTTTTTGCATTACTTTAGCGACTGCCATTTCAAAATCATCTTGTGTTACGTGCACACGCCTTTCACGTAATGCATACATTCCAGCTTCTGTGCATACACCCTGCAATATAAATGTATAGATTGTTAAATTAAATAAAACTTTTCTCAATTTTAGTAAGTATTGATAAACAATCGCATTAAATAGATAACTTTCTTGAGATTAGGTCTTGATGTTTGTGATAATTTAACAGAAATGTAAGTCTTAATAATAATATTTAATAATAGTTATTTAAATTGTAACTGTACTTCCGTTTTTACTTTCCATCTTAATTTAATGAAAACCACTATCAATTTGTTATTAAAATATCTTTTAAGAAACCATTAAGAATTACCTTATCCAAAATTAATGTTTTTTAAACTGTGCAAACTATAAGATTATAATTTATAATACATTAAAATTTAAACAGAAACCATTATACTACTCCTATTACCAATTTTGTTTGAACTAGAAGTATTGTCAGTATGTTGTTATCACAATACAATGACAAAGTGTTTTCAACTTTCACCAGCCAGTTTTCATAAATCAATATTAGTCAATAGCCTATTTAAAAAAACTTTTTTGTTCTGTAAACCACGTAAATCACAATAAATATTTTATAGAAAATGTTTGTTACAGTGCTAAAAGAATTGAAAAGCACTGTATAACAACATTATTATTATTGATGTTATAATGTTTACAAGCTTTAAATTTTATAAAATAAACAATTGAAGTAGAAAAAAAAAAATGAATACTATTATTATTAAATAAATCTTATTTTATATTTTCAAATAAAAATCATAATTACCTTGACTTCAGCCCCAGATGCTCCAGGCATGAGCTCAGCGATTTTTTTTAAATTAATACCTCTCGTCAAGTTCATTTTTCTAGAATGAATACGCAAAATATCCCAACGAGCTTCTTCATTTGGGGGAGGGAACTCAATTTTACGATCAATACGTCCAGGCCGTAATAGAGCCGTATCCAAAATATCAATACGATTAGTTGCCATTATGACCTGAAATTAAGTGTTTATTAATTACAAATACCTAATAAACATTTTTTACTAATAATTTTTATCAAATAATCTCACCTTAATGTTCTTAGTTGCTTCAAAACCATCAAGCTGATTAAGCAGCTCCAACATAGTTCTTTGTACTTCAGAATCACCACCACTACCAGATTCAATACGTGATGAACCGATAGAATCAATTTCATCCATGAAAATAATGCTAGGAGCATGCTCTCTACAATAACATTAAACATAAATAAATAGTATAATAAATATTATTATTATTAAATATAAGAGAATTAAAATCATACCTAGCCATAACGAAGAGTTCTCTGACCATTCTTGAACCTTCACCAATAAACTTTTGCACAAGTTCAGAACCAGATACTCTAATAAATGTACACTCAGTGTGATGAGCAACCGCTCTAGCCAATAAAGTTTTACCTATTTGAAATAAAAGTTTTTGATAAATGATATTTCATATTTTAATGTGATGGGTATTGAAAATTCCATTAATTTACCAGTTCCAGGAGGTCCATATAACAGTACACCTTTTGGTTGGGCAATACCAAGAGCATCGAACAATTCAGGATGTTTGACTGGTAATTCAATAACTTCTTTAATTTCTTTGATTTGAGTGTCTAATCCACCAACCATTTCATAAGTGGAATCTGGTACTTTTTCAACCATCATAAGAGAAACCAAAGGATCCACCTAATGAAATCACATACAAAATTAAATTAATGTACCTATACAACAGAATTAAATATTAAAACTTAAAAGCAAATATATATAAACCTTATTGGGTAGAATTTTGTGCAATGTATAACTTTCGTTACGCAATGCTACTCGACAATTTGGCGTAACATCATTGATATCAATGTTTTTGTCAATATCGACGACAAATTTTCCTTCTGGGTGTACTTTAACAAGCACCTTTTTTTTGTCCATTGGCTTTACTACTTCACCAACATAAGAACCTTGTTCTTGAAGTAATTGCAGTTCTTCTCTCAACAACCTCACTATGAATGAACAATTAAAACAATCACTAAATGGCTTTTAAGATATAATACAAATATTATTCAACTACGCTCAAATGTATTAAAACACATATAATGATTTTTTGATATTTAAAATATTTATATGATAATAGCTTATTTATCATTAATCGTTAATAAATAAATATTAAATACCTTTAGCATTGAGTTCATTTCTCTGAGCTTGTAAACGCCTGAGGTTCATACTTTTTTCTGCTACAACCAATAACAATTCTTCGATTTTAGTTGAATAATATGATTTAAAACCATCTCCTCTAGAACCACTATTTTGATCCACCTCCATAAACTAAATACAAATTTTTAACACAATTAATAAACAGTAATTATGACAAATTATTAGAACAGTCCAGGTTATAGGTAACATTATTTCATTTAATTTTATATTTTTGTCCACAATATAAAAAGTCATTATGTCTATACCTTCATTTAAAACTTATTAATATATGATAATATTATTAAACACATTTTAAATAAAAGTCTAAGAAAATCCTAAAAATGTATTATTAATAATATTATACTGTTAGATTCAAACAATCAATACATGAAGATAAATTATAATTTGAACAATTGGAAATTTAATAGTAAAAACTAAGATTTATACTATGGAATTGTTATTCAAATTTACAAAAAATCAGTAAATAATATAATAAATAAACATGGTAAAATATTGAGGAAAAAACTGTGTAACTTAATAACTAAAACAAAGCTCAAGTTAAAAATGATTTACAATCGCTATTTCCTGAGATATACCTACTATATAAACATAATTATTAAGCTTAAATCTATTATTTCTTACTTCAGGAGGATTAGGCGTCATGGTTGAGATGAGAATACTACACAAACAATTGATATATTTTTTTTAAATTTTAAAAATCAAAACCACAAAATTATTATGAATAATATAATAATAAAATTGTCATTTCCTACAAAAACTTACTTGTAATGGTTTGATATCAATACTCGTTTTTATCACGATCTGAGTGGATTTTTTATGGTATCATTTTTGTTCCATGGATTACTATTCAATCAATTTGCCGCTCGTTTTTAAATTCAATAATTATTCTTCTGTTATGGTATGTTTGCTTTACTAATTTTTGACTTTTTGTCGATGCTATTTAACTTTTAGAACGACAAATAAAATTTTACATATCACTTTTGATAAAAATGAAATGTAGTCCATACACTTACACACTGTGTATAATGTTTAAATTTCCTTTAATGCTTATATACATAAAAAAGTCTCATGCTTTTTTTATTTTAATTAACTGGATATTAAAATTTTCAAAAATTCATGATAATTTTACCAGGATACCTATTATTCATTAATGGTATAAAATGCATAGAATGGTCGTGTAGTGATGGGAAGGAGTGTTTATAGGTGTAACAATACCCCTCTTCTCCGTTAACATATTTATTTACTCTATATATGTAAATAATAAAATAATGAAAAATAAATTATTTTACAATATGACCATATGTAAATTACATAACGATGTTTGTATTTAAAAAAAACAAGGGAATTTTTTCATTTGTGCGCATGTACTTTCGAAATTTTTCTAAATAAGTCTACTACATATTATAAATGACCAAGAAAGAGATAAAAAGAATATATATGTACCTAACTTTAGTAATGGCAATTTCTAATGAAGTTTTAAATGCAGTAGTTCAATAATTGTGAACATAAGCGAAAGATAGATTTTAAACAATTTTATCTTGAAAATAAATACAAATCCTTAAGAGTTATTATTTCATGACTTATACTTAAAGTTCCATTAACTCAAAAAAAAATTGCTCTAGTATTGTAATGTCTACAAAAATGTAGTATGGGATTTCAATATATATATAAACCATTTTTAAATATTTTTACTAAGCAACTTGATGAGAAATTAATAGACAAATCGCATAAGTTTTAAACAACTTCACTTGTTTAATTCATGTGAATTTAATGAAATAAAATCCAAAGATCTAAAAACATATATATCAGGATACTGAAGTAAACGAAATAACTGCAATGAATAAATTCACTATATGACATCAATAAAATTTAAAAAATAAAAGTACAATCAAAGCTTTAAATAATAATTTTAATGAAAATATATTCTAAACAATTTACAGACTTTAAATTATTTAGGCATATCGGGCATATGGCCAATACTTTACCGATTACAACTGCTTCCAGTGAGAGGTCTTTTTCAACTTTTCGACATTCAAATCATTTATAGGTACAAAATACGATTGGTGAAAATAGTTTGGCATACATTGTATACATTGGATATACATCGTGGTAAAGGTATTGTATAGTATTAACAGAAGCAATAATAAGTGAAATATTAAAACTACAGTCGTTTATATGATTAATGTAAAAATTAAATTTACTTCTTTTTTGTATATTATCTATACTTTATTTTACATCATAAAAAATTATTTATTTATTTATTTGATTATAATTTATAAATCAATCTCGATCATCATCTAATCTTCAATGTGCTTTTATTCAGACAATTGATTGTACTTTAGCGCATTGCAGTCACCGAATACGTCTATATGGCCATATATGATATATACAACATTTTCTAAATAGAAATTGGAGACTGGTGGATGCGTATCTGTTCAATGATCAATATCGTGTGTTTAAGAAATTACATGTGCAGTATATACCATCAAAAAGTGCCAATCTGTATCAAACTCCAGCTTCAATACAAATCGGCATATACTCGTAAAGGTACAAAAAAAAAAAAAAAAAACATAAAGAAAAATACGTCTAAAAAATGTATAACAATATAAATGAAAAATTAGTGCAAATAAAAAGTATATTTAAAAATTTTAGAAGTATGCATGGGAGACTATTTTAAATTGGCTCCCATAACCGTATAATATTATGATTTTATAAGAGTTTATTATCATAATATCATAATATTATACGCGTTTACTTTTATAACGTCATTTGTACTTTGCACTTAACAGTGTCTCAACTAGTCTGACTCGTGGGAAATTTTCCATTCCAAATTTATTTCGCAATTTCAATCTGCGCATCCAAATATATTTTGCTTTTTAAATATATTCTCATAGGCGCAACTAGACCTCTTAAATGTGGAATGCTAAAACCTAAAACTGTTAATGGCTTGCAGACCCATGGTATTTTACTAAAACAATAATAGTTAGGTATAAAAAATAAGGGGTTTTAAAGACCCTTTGCACCCCGCCCCACTAGTTGCGTCACTGAATATACTATATAGTTTTCAAGTTGATACGACAATATTATTTGATGAAGCTCCAATACAATAAAACTATTTCGGAAAGAAAAGATAAAATTTATTTATCAGAAAATAGTATGACACTAATTTCAACGTTTTAAAATGTATAAAAATATCAACCGATAACTATAAGCTGTTAAAAACAATATAATATATTATTTTTGTTTAAATTATTAATTTACATTTCTAAATATTATTCATCTATTTAATTTTAATTTTAATATGCATTGCATAGCAATAACCCTTTAAAAAGGGTCAAAAAGGATATTTACAGAATGATTAAATTAATAGTACCTCTTAATTGTTTAGCTTTTATTTTTTTCCCGCTCTTATTAGATTTTTTTACTACTAAATATATTTGTGTAGGAATTTTACATATGTATTATGATGTGTAATTCTCAATACAACTATTCAAAATATACGATCGTAATACCGTAAACCATGTGTTAAAATAAAGAATCATACAATTATACAAACTTATTTGGTTATCTTAAATGTGATTGACGTAATGACTTCAACTGCTTTAAGAAAAAAAAAGTCGAACTTTAAATAATAATTATTATAACCGAAATATTATTGAAAAAAAAAAGATATGGATCCAATTTATTAGTAAATTCTACTTGAAAGTTACTTCAATTGTTCTGTATCCGTGATCCGTGTTCGTGTACCTATTTAAAAATACCCTAATCTACAAAACACAGGTACTGCTCTCAGAACTCTCCGCTATGATACTTTATTGTTTGGTTTAAATAAGTAGCTTAAGACAAAATTTATGTCGGTCTAGAATAAAGACAAATAATAATATTTGGAAAAAAAATTAAATACTTCCATCTATAAACTATAGTTCTTTAAATTTGTTGAAAAGCATTGACAAATATCTCATAATTAGTTTTTTTTATAAAATACAATTTAATAATATTAAATGTACCTACTGTGTACAATTTATTTATAACACACTTAAAATTTAAATAGAATTCGATCATCACTCACCAGACTTAAATACTTAAAATTTTGAATACATATTACATATATATATATATATATATATATATATATATACTATATAAACTTATATATATATATATAAACTTATATATTATAACTTATTGGACTAGATTAGTGATCTTTGCTTAGCATAATAACATATAGATTAGGTACTTAACTGATCTTAACCAAGTCGAACTCGCCGAAGGTTATTATTTTTTTTTTTTATAAATAATATATATTTACTATTTAACAATAATCTAAAACTGGTTGTTATTTTTGTTATTCAAAATAGCCTACTAATCGTCATGGAGTAAAATTAATTAATGATTTCTCTCAGCTACAAAATATCTACGCTGTGCTCCCAGCGTCCCACGAATCATGGACTAAAAAAAAAACAACGTACACTGTACAGTGATAAAGTCAAATTTGATATATTTTTTAACACGATTACAAGAAGAACAATACATTTATGTGTTGAATTGAATGAATTGAAACATTGAATCTTGTTTTTGTATAAGTTTTTCATCATTTTGCTTTAAAGGAAATCATGGACACGTACGAGAGCATATTATTGGTAAAAAACGAAGTGTTTGTTTTCAAAATACCACCGAGAACCACCAACAGAGGATACAGGTGAATATAATTTAACTCAGATTTGTTTGGTACTTTGCATTGTCAATAGTAGCATTGAGTGATTAAAATTTGGATTTAACAGTAAAAAAAAACCACTAAATCGTGTGTATATTGTACTATGCAGTTGATTATATGCTATGCTTAATTTATTTTCTAGGGCAGCTGATTGGAATCTAGCTGAACCCACTTGGACTGGTCGTTTAAGGATTGTCAGTGTGGGTGATTCGTGCACTCTTAAACTTGAAGATCGTAACAGTGGTGAACTATTTGCTAAATGCCCCATTGAACAATATCCAGGCGTGGCTCTTGAGTCTGTTTCTGATTCTTCTAGATACTTTGTCGTACGCATCCAAGATGAAAATGGTATATAGTTAATGACCTCATTTAAATTTTTAAATAATAATTAATGACTTTATAATGTCTAAATCAGGTCGTGCAGCATTTATTGGTCTTGGATTTGGTGATCGTTCTGATAGTTTTGATTTAAATGTTGCCTTACAAGATCATTTTAAAAGAATTAAAGTCTGTGAAGAAATTGCTAAGGAAAAGAATGAACCCAAACAAGAATTAGATCTAAAATTCAAAGAAGGCGAAACAATTAAAATCAATATGAAAATTACTGTAAGCTTAAATTGTTGTTGGTATGACAATCATAATAATTTCATTTAAATTATGTATGTGTTTAGAAAAAAGATGGCAGTGAAGGAGTAACTAATAAGCAGACTAAACCTCGACCGACAATTTCGGGCAGTGGAGGACTGTTACCACCTCCTCCAGGCTCTTCAGGTGTAAAAACTATTCCGGCACCACCTTCACAAACTTCATCTCCATCACATCAATCTACAAATTCAAATAATTGGGGTGAATTTACTTCTGCAAATAATACTCCCCAATCAGGTGGGAATTCCAATCCTAATTGGGTACAATTTTAAGCTAACATATTATGCCAGGTAACCAAATATTGGAGTCTATAATAATTATTATTATTATTATTATTATTATTATACTAAACATTTTTGTTATATCATAATTAATTTATTATTATTATTTTCGTTTTAAATATTCAAAAATATTGTTAAATGAGTTATTTTTATTAGATTTTTTGACAAAACATATTATTTAGCTTATTTAAATCCTATTATGTTTTACTATAATAAATTATCAAGTATAATGTAAAAATAGTTATTATTTAATTATTAGTCTATCTACATTTTTGTAAATGACTATATTAATGTTATTTTTCTTGAATTTATAGAAGTATTCAAAAATTTAAAGACATTTTTAATTAATTTCATTTTTTTAATAAAATTATTGTATTTTTATTTTTATTATTAAATATTAAATGATATGTGAATCATTCATTTGTTATAAGTTAATTATTGATATTTGTTTAATATTAATGTATTCAGTATTATGATATATGGAACTTCTATAAAAGTATTATTTATAACAAAAACAGTATTTACATTTTAAATAATTACAGTACTTATTTGTTCTCTTAAGAACTAAAATTAGAAGTGATTAACATCATAATATATCTCTTATTATGCAATAAAAATAGTAACATTTTATCATTATTTAAAAAGTAATAATTTTATCAAATTATACTTTATGTCTTAAAATTCTGTTATTTCTAATACTTAAGTTTATCATTTTTACTTCATTTCCAAGATTTATTTATATGAAAAAAATTAAAAATATTTATTCTACAAAATAAAGTTAAGTTTTACTTCGTTATAGAAATAGTATTTGACAATATTGGCTGCAATAATAGCATACTTTCACTTCTTATTTGTACAAGTTTAAACAATTGTACTGTATTAGTGTTGTTAATTATAATAAATTGTTTAATTTCCTGTTCAAATATTCTTAAATTTTCTGTGTATACAATAAAACATTTTAAAAACTTTAATAAGTTAAGAAGATTTATCATTATTCATGTAAAATATACAATTCGAAGTAAAATTCCATTTTAATTAAATTACTTTATTGTGAAAGGTAATTTATTTTTATGAATCGTAAAATGCTATTATTTATTTATTTTAGTATAGTTTAATTCAAAGTGTTAAGTTTAGTTAAATTAAAATATTAAACTTGTTTGATATGTACAAATTGGTAAAATTTGGTTGCATATGAGTGGTAATTTTACATTTTTGTCACTTATGTTTTTATACACTCTAATTTAGATTCGTTTTACATCTTAATTTATACGTTTATTATATGATTCTAATGTTCTTATGATACATCTATCTCATTATGTTTAGTGTGAATTTTATTACTCTAAATCCATTAATTATTTAATTAAACCAACTAAAATATCTCATTATATTCATTTTATAATTTAATGGATAGTGAAAAAACTATTATTTTTCCGTAATTTTGTTATGAATTATTTAATTTATAAGTTTATGTTTTAATATTATTCGGCTAATAATAATAATTATTATTAACATGTTTAATTTATTAACTATTATAAAACTATGATTAAAAACAAACGCAGTAACCAAATGTTGAATATGCACATACATTTCATTATTTATGTTACATTTATTGGTGGACATTAAATATATATATATATATATATTAGGCATCATTTTGGTCTAATTATTTGTATTATTTAAAACAATTTATTAAAACCATTCCATTTGTAAATTTTTTTTTTTCATTTTTAAATATATAATATATAATATATATATTAATGTTTAGAACTTGTCACTTGCTATTGTAGCTCTTTTTGATACTGTAACACAAACAATTAGTCTATATAAGATTTATCTTTTACTATAAAATAATCGACTCTGAAAAAGAAACTATTAGATAATATGTTCGTTTCCTATTTAAATTATGTTTGTTAAAATACCTGAATCTAAACAATAGTCTGCTATATCATGATTTACAATTTACAAATGTTTATTTATTTGTTTTGGAATTTTTTTGCTTTTATTTCCTTTAATTTATTAAAATTTATTTCAATTATTTATTATTTTTGTACAAATTTGAAGGGCACACTTTTTTAAAGATATATGAGCAATAAAAACAATTTTAATGTAAATTTTTCAATCAGAGAGCTGTTTCGATGAATAGTGTTGTGTACTCTTGTGGGTTTTTATTGTAACGTTAGGTTTTATGTTTAGACCTATGTGATGTTGTATAGATTTAGTATTTTTGAATACGCATACCCGTTTGAAATGAATGTAACAACGAATAATAAAACAACTATTGAAATAATAACGATTCAATCGATTATCTTATTATTTGAGAAATAAAAATAATTTTCGTTACAATACACAATATTATAAAATACAATATATTTACATGTCTTACGAACTAAAGTCTTGAAGAACAGGTACAAAAACGGCATACAATTATTATCAATAATATTACATTACGATGTACGTATGTCGAACAGGGACGCGAAAATAAGGTTGGTGATGTGTAAACCACGGTTATCTACCGATATACACTGTTCTAGCCCGTCACCAAGGCCTCCACATCAACTTTGCGGGGGTAGCGTCTCGACGTAACTCCGTCGTCGCGTTACTATCATCTTCGTCGGACGAGCAGAAAGATGACGATGAACAAATGTTATTATTGTTTATGACTGTGACATTGGTACTCGGCGGTTCTCCTGGGAAAGAAGTCGACGACAACGACAAACGGTTTACCGACGCGTCTAGCCTCTTCGCGCACGATTCCAGATGTAAGATCATCCTTTGACCTGACATTTGCCGCCGCTCGTCCGTCCACTGTTCGGCCAGCAGCTCTTGGACCTGTCCTATGCACCGCCTGTATCCGGCCGCGTATATTTCTGGTCCTGGCGGTGGTGGTGTAGGCGACGGCGCCAAGGCCGTCGACTTCCGCTTCAGGTATCTGACTGTCATCTCCAGGATATCAGCTTTTTCCAGTTTGTTCACTCGAGAGAGGTCTTGACCGGCCTGTAATCAACCAATAACGATAATAGTTCAATAAATGTCCTCCTTAAAAGTGACTAGCCACCATAAGCGATAATTATGTACCTATTATATACATTATATTACATATTATATATGATATTTTTCCTTTCTGTCACAATATTATTGATATACATTTTTTGTATTTTTGTTCTTAAACAGCTTAATAATGTATCATAAGTTTATATATTGTAAACTTAATATGTATATTACCTATTACCTATGTAGGTTTTATTTTAATGAAAATATTGTTTATCGACCAATCTTAAATCGAACCATATTATTACACCATTATAAACAGAATAGTTTACAAAAAATAAGTGTAGTCAAATATGTGTTTAATAAACTATAATAATAGTATTTACCTATATATAATAATAAATAATGATTTATGTATACACATTAGCATTATTTTATTCGCTTAAAACCTGATTAGCTGAATTAGTAAAAATTTGATCATTTGATCAATTATATCAAAATTATTTCATTCGAATAATATGTACTAGTGAACGTTTAAAAAATAAAATATGTTAACACGACCTCGACCAATCATACTAAGGATTACAAATCGTATACATATCCTATGTAAGTAAGTATTTAAAGTAATTTCACCTTTAAATATTTATTGCCTCAATAATATAATTGTTATTATCTATTAATAATTTGTCACTAAAGATAAAAAAATAAAAAAATCTAGCAGGTAACAGTAATTAATAATTATATAAGTAGCTGTTATTCGCCATTAAATGAAACATTTTTATCGATCATTATTTAGTTATTATTAAATATTATATAAAAAGTAAAAAATATAACTTTAGGTTCCAAGGTACAGTTGGAGGTGATTAAGAATTATAAAATAAAAACTATAATAATTATAGTTTTTAATTATTAAAAAATGCATTCCCTTGCGCATACACAAAATTAACACCCTCATAACACTAAAGAGGTTGGTTAATTCTAAGCATTCTTCTATAGCCTTCCCCCTCCAAAATAAAATTTACATAATATATCTAGTTTTGTCGATAATTCCTCGCGAGGGTGTAAGATCAGAGAGGGTTCGATGTGCAACCTACTAAAAAATGAACGAAAATTTCATAAATACCTAATCTATAGCAGTCAGCAGGAGATCGTATTGCATGATACTTGACGATCGTACCTATATTATGTAGAATCATATTTTTACTCTATAATATTTTACAAGAAATACTAATCTAGAAAAATGTAGTGATGTATATAAATTATATTTTTACATCATAAATTAATGTGTACCTACATCACAACGAATAAAATATACATTGTATATGCATATAAGTATATGTGATGCACTAATACGTTTGATGGGATTATAGGTAACGCTCTTTTATATACCTAATCCAGCTATTTCCGTTCCCGCTTTTTTATCCACGGGCGTAAGAATATAAATAATTTGATGTTTAAGAACACGGATTTTTGATGATATTTCATTGTGGATTTAGACGAATAATAATAATAGGTGTCGACCGCGACAACAATAACATATTTAATTCTAACTGTGTATAATATGTATAATAAAAACTAATTTATGGCATTAATGTATAAATGGTACATATACGTATCTACTATATGGTAAAATACATATTTGATGTTTAAGTACTTACGGATTTCTCGGCGTCCACTACGATTCGTTTCAGTTCGTCCAGGCTCTGATTTATTCTTGCTCGTCGCTTTTTCTCCATCAACGGCTTTCGGATCTATATATAGAAACAGAGCATGATTAAAAAAAAGTTCATGTGCGTATAATAATATAGCCTATGGTGATGGCTAATTTTAAACCGTAAGTCACCACTACATACATGTGGGACAGCTTGAAACGAAGATAATAATAAAAATAACATTTTTCCATACCTTCCGAGGTTCGATTTGCTTTCCGGTTTTCTTGTTGTTGGATGGCAAAGAAGTCGAAGAGATCTCTTCCATGTTATCGTCGTCGTCGGTACCGGAAATCGTGGTATGACACATATTTTCGCTTGAACCGAATTAAAAGGGTCTAAAATGTAAAGAAATTCAAATTAAATTAAAGAAAATCATAATACAGAAATGATATTATGTTGTAATGACATGATGTGTGCTTTTTAGGTACTATAGAGCACTTCGGATGTATCTATAGACAAGATGTACTTTGTAAAAAAAAAATTAAAAAATACTTACTCAAGAATTATTGAAGAAAAAAATAAAATAACACTTCTATCCGCGGTGGTACACGACCGTTGGGTAAAGTATATTATATATTTATATTTTATATGTCCTCTTCCGGGAATAGTAATAATAATTTGAATTATGTGTAACTATTTAGGTATGTGAATAGATCGTATATGATGGAAGCGGGACAAGACGTGAGAGACGTCCGTAAAAACAATTGTAATTTATACGAATGATGGGTATCGGGTAATATTAAAATAGCAAAGCGGACTGAGATCGACGAGGGTGTATTTTGCACTGAACAGGCATGTATTGGAGCAGTGGTGACCGACCCTTAAGAACGACCGTACACTACAGACGTCCGTGACATCGAATAAAACGGACGTCTTATATTATTATTTGTGCGTTTAGGTACGTTGTATATACATATATACGCGTTTGCGTGTTTTCCCTCTTCTTTCTACGTAAGACGTTGGCCGATGGTGGTGGTAAAACGAACATCGTCGTTGGTTTGGGCGTGAGTACATATCATTTATGTATATATATATAAGTATACGATCGGCGCCGCCACTGGGGGTTGTGGTATATTAGTACACGCGTGTATGTGTCGGCGGGAGAGAAGAAAAAGAGAGAGAGTGAGAGAGAGACTCTAAGACCGTACAGATACCGCGGCTACTTTATATATAAATATATATATTGTGTTGGCGTAATAGTGTTATATATTTTATTAGTTTATTGACTATACCATATTATATTATAAATTATTATATACGTTTATTATTATTCGTTGTACGAGTACCGCGTGTGGCATACGCGTGCAATAAAATGTTACACCATTATTTATATGCGCGTTATTTATATTTTTACCTGACTAATTCTGCAGTGGTCCCATTATTTGTTTGTTTTACGACTTGACCATATATAAATATATATAGTTTCTCAAGGTGGCCCGCCAGTGTAATATGTTTATCAATTCTAATGTGTAATAGACACCTCGCAATAACAATAGACATGTTATAATATCTAGGTATAAGCAACGCACAGTATACTTTGAATTTTTTCTGGGGGAAGAGAATTAAAAAGCATTATAATTTTTATTTAATTATTCAAGTAAAAACCTATTAACGAAAAAATGTCATTATTAATATTTCAAGTATAAATTTTAAGTAATATTAATAGTTAATACCTATTAACCTATGATTCTCATCACAAACCTATTATGATAAATTAATTTCTTAGTTATAAGTATCCATTATTTGAACTTTTATTTTCGCGATTAACTTAGCATTTGGAATTAATAATTTTATCATTATTCTATATATTTTTTCGAAAATTGTGAAAAATGAAAATACGAATAAAATTATTACTATCGTTGATCTATAAATCGGCATGAAAATAAAATCTATAGATTTGGTTTTGGTCGTTAGTTATGTAAATACATAATTTTGTAATACAGGTCAATTTTAAACTTTAAATTTTAAGCATCATAATATTTTTGTAATTCGATGTAGACATAACAGACATGTAAATAAATTATTATTTTAAGACACGCGTTTTAAAAAAGACTCCAGGGATTGAATTTACATGGGAAGTAATGAAAGAAAAAAGTTATAATCCGTACAGGAAATTACGTACAATAAATACATATGTAAAAAAAAAAAAAATGATAATAATTATATTACATATTGTTTTATATTATTACAATTATTCTTTTTCCTCGACTGTTGGAGTTTTGGATCAACCTACTATTGTGGCAATCGTACAGTTCTTCAATTCTAGACACATCATTAACAAAATATAACAACTAACAAGTATCTGTATAGGTATAATGTATATATATATATACCTCCTTGCACGTGCGGACTCATTAAAATATATTACACGGTACGAGCGTTTACATAGATACCTGCAATTGCCTCTGCACACCATTAACTCCGAATCGAATTTACTGTTGCAGCGTACGTGATTATTATCCGAAATCGATATAGAATAATAAAATAATAATACGTATTCCTCGGCGTACACGTAATATCAAGTAGGTATAATGTATAATATAGAGAATACGAGAAAAACAAACATAAATTAGTTTTAACAAGGTAAAATATACATGCAGAGACTGCGTTTGTCATCCGGTGCATGGTGGGCCATCGTTTCGCTCCACTTCATCACTATAATATATTTTATTTTTTTTTTATTGAGACTGACTTTTTAAATCGAGTAGACACGTTTAATCTGAGCTCTTTTTTCACATTTTACGTCGATACGCATAGGTAAATTAAACAAATATTACTGGTTTATTTGATGGTAAATTAATCGATTTTAATCAACAGCAGCTGTAGATAATTAAATTCATGTTATATGGTTCTATACTTATATCGACGACAAATTGTTCATATTTTTTTGACGATTTTTCATCTTTTATACGCATAATTTATGTCGATTTTTTTAAATTGTTTATTTATTTTTATAACTTTTAAAAATAATTTACTATCAAGAAATATTTTTAAATACTAAATTGTTTAAAGCGTTATGAAATTAAATTTTCTTCGGTATAGTTCTTTAAATTTATGGTGTACCCACGAATCTTTCATTGAAAAATGAAACTGCAAAAAAAATATTAACTTATGTCAATCATATCATACTTAAATATTGGTTTTAATGATAATAAGGATTGTGAAAGACTTGAATGCCCGGCCTCTGTATATAAAGACATAACATATAAATAGATATAAAAATACAAATTGGGTGTTCTCATTATTCTCATTATATGATTTATGTATGTAATATTGTAATGCATGCAGGTCTTAATTCATAAAGTATTACATGGTTAAGTATTAAAAGGACGTCATATGTTCGCTTTCCAAGGGGTTGCATGTATATAGACGATTTAAAAAAACCTTACATTTTAATTAAACATATTAAAAGATAATTGTAAGGAATTTATTATAAATAATCATATCGCATATTTCCATTGATAATTGTTCTTTTTTATTAAATTATAATATGGAAAAAGTTTGTTTGCAGAAAAGAACCGAGATGATTATACAGTAATATAGTTATAGATAAAAAACCAAATTTTCATCAAAAAGATAAAAAAACTTTTATTGTGCAATATTGTTTTTATTTAATACTTACCAAATTTGTTGAAAAAGTTATTCAAACTTTAAAAATATAAAAATAATGAATTTCAAACAATAGAATTACTTTATTTGCTTTAGTGTTCAGGAAAAATAATTGTATGCAGGCAATAAAGTTCTTTTTTTGATGACAATTCGTTTTTTCATTCATAACTGTAGAAATTAGTACAATTGGTCCTTGTTTGTGCTAAACGGCTTTTAATAAACAAACAATGGTCGTGTGGCGTCTAATTAATGATAAAATATAAACTAATAGTACAAGTATAAATAATATTATTATGATAAAATCTTATCAAAATCATAATAGATATGTATATAAATTTATCTTAATTTTTGCATTAAACTCATTATATACTCATTTTTATTTTTATTTAAAACCGTTACTAAAATGTCTATAATTTATTTATAACACTACTAAAGTACTATTACGTATAACATTTCATTTTGTGTCAAATATCATAATTGTCGTTCTATTATGTCATAATAGATTATTATGAAACGCGTGTTTCAAATGTTTGTGAATAATGAATAGGAAGTTACTATAATGATGCGTCGTTATAACGTTCCATCTCCGTTGAGAGTGAATATTATATGGGCGTTGTAGTTAAGTATTCAAATTTTTTTCTTATACATAGAAACATCACCGTTGCGTCGTCGGTATTGAATTTAGTACCTATTCCATACCGTCGTACTTCAAGAATCCGTTAAAAAATTCGTCGCATTGACACATATATAATGTATATAAGCATATATATATATTTAATTTCAACAACATCTGACTATGGTGGGCGTGACGCACTTGCGTACCTAAATGTATGTAATAATGATATATATATATATATATATTATACCAATGATGGTTTGGAAACGAAATACTTGTGTGTGTGGTAGTATGAGTGCGCTCGCGATTAACGGTCGATTTTCTCTTTTTATCTTTTTCACCATACAATGTGTATAATATGATAATACATAACACACACACACACACACACACAAACACGCGCGCGTGTAAGCAGTATAACGCATTGCATGAAATCGGAACCTGTTTCGAAATGAAAATCTGGAGGGTCTCGCGGGAGAGCCACGGCGCGCACATACTATGAAAACGGTGAATGAAACGGCCGGAAATGCCGATCCATTCATTTGCTGGGCGGTCCACCGCAACCTATATATATATAATAATAATATATATTTACTACCTATGTATGTGTGTATGTATACTTGTGTAGGTATATAACATTCTCTCCTTTTTGCCTCGTTCACCTGCTGTTTTTTGGGGCTATGTATATATATGTACACATCTATACAACGTGCACAGTATAATCGATACGCGAGTTATCGCATTTATCGGCTACACGTGTATTTCCATTGTTGTTGCCTCACTTTCCTCCGGAACTATTATACGTCGTATAGTGCTGCAGGTACACGCGTATATACCCATATTATAATAATATATAGGTAAAGAAGTCCTGTGGACCGCCGTCGACATTTGCGACGGTCAATCTTGGAAGACTCAGAGTGGAGCCAATAGAATACACTCTTGTCCTGGTACGCGTCTATAGGTGTAGGTAGAATGTAGTTTATTATATTGTATCGATCAGACAATAGTGTTTTTTCCTTCCTTTTATAATTTCGTTCGTGCGGCGCAGTTCGGGCTTGCACATCCTGTGTATAAGTTTTGTTGCGGACACGTTTTCAAACACGCGTTTGTCGGAATGCTGACTCGTGTCGAGATTTGCTGGAAACGTTATTTTGTTATGTTTCATTCAATGGTTTTATTACCTATATCCACAACTATATACCTCCTAAACGTATAAACGCCTAAACACTATAAAGGATACATCTTGACGAGCATGGATTGGTTGCGCCTGAAAATTTATATTTTAAGATCAGTGTAACAATAATTGCGCTCCTAATACTTTTTTGGTCAATAAACTAATTATTGAATCTATAACTTTTAGTTTCATCTTAAGGTATAAAAATAAGGATAATATAATGGCGATACTATCAGATATTTTTATATGCGCATTAATTTTTATAGTAATCTAAATAAGTATTCAGTTGGTATTCATAATTGTATCTGTTTTTGTTTTAGTTAAGTAAAATATAGGTAACCTAAGTTGTACTGTGTACGATAAATATTAATTTTTACACATATTAGACATAAAATATCAATACCTTATGTTTAGCGCAAATAGTTTACATCAACTCCGAAAGTGATCAAGCATAATTATTCTATCAAG